ACGGCCCATTACCAGTGCTGCTCTAATTCAGTCTGATTTACGTGGCTGTCACTGAGATAGAAACGAGGCTCGCTGAGGAAGAGAGGACAGTGTTTTCTTGTTTACGTCTTGTGATAGTCTGTGGTTCTGCAGGTGAAGGGTGGATATCTGTGACAGAGAATATTGCCACTTTTAATCCACTCCAGGAAAGAAGACATGGAATGAAGACAGAGACAGTCCTGCTCGTCTTCAAGTGGGAAATCATCTTTATCTCCCCAACCTTGTATATAAAAACCTCCTCCTAATCTTTGTGCTGATGCATTTGTCAGCTCTTTTTAAGAACACAGCTTTTAACTGGATCTCGGGATCGTTTCACACGGTTCTGCTCAGCTTAGTATCTAATTGACTCTCCTATGAGATTGCAATGTAAAGAAAAAAGGAACAAGAGGATTGCATATTTAAGATAACTTCAGACTCATGTCGGCACTTTTTAAAGCATCACAGAGCAGTGTTTTGGACACAGGACGATGGAAGACCATGGTTAAATATCAGCTCTTCCATGTTCGCTGACGGACTGCTGATGTATCATGAACATGGGCACTGAAACCTCTCCCCCCCCGTTTCGACATTCAGACGATGCTATGGTGTGATTTAAAGAGGGGAGAGAGAGTAACAGACAATAATGGAGATGGAGCATATAGGCACAAAAGGAAATATGCCACATAATAGAGGAACATTTTCCAGAGCACTTAAAGCCTAACCGTTGATTATTGCTCCCCTGGAGTAGAAGCTTAGCGTGAATGCAGGAAATCTGCTGCACACATGAAGCTATGCGTGCAGGAGACGGATTCTCTCCGAGTCTTACTCTGGTTACTTGTGTGTCTTTTTATTATCTGACCACACAAGGGTGAAAAATAAGTAGCAGATCTGGATGCTTCCGAGTCAGATTCACTCACAAATTCACTGAGCCAGATCACGTCATCAAATGAATTGCAAAGACGCATTTTGATTTTTAGTTGTAATGCATGTATGAGCATTTTAATGAGTGCATAGCGTGTGTATGCCAAGAAGACATGGTCCCTGGCCATTGTTTCGGACAGATTGGGATACAAAGTCTTTGTGAAACTGCAAGTAAAACCATAGCCTTATGTTATATTTCAACTGAAGGGAACTTTATGTTCAATTTTATGTTCAGTTTTCCCATTTCAACACATTATGTTGATGCAAATGCAAGCTCAGGTTCTGCTATAGGGAGCGTCTGTGATCCTGAGCTCGTGGCTCCTGTGCAGGCTGGAAAATATCTCTTTTTATCTGCAGAACTGAAAACACTCAGCATCGCGATTGAAGTGTCAGAGAGGGTTTTTATTTCTTTCAGAGAAGCCTTAACGCTCTGTGCATACACTTTACACTTCAGCTCAGAGCAAATCTAACATCTGTCATCAGCGCAGATATTCTTTTATTATCAACAATCTTATTTAAACCAAAGGAAAATGTGGATTTTTAGGTCATGCTAAGTTGAAATCCACTGAGTCCACTTTACCTGTAGCACCTTTAACTATATTTATTTTTCTTTAGGGTTAGAGTCCCATGAGTCGGCTACAGGCTGCCGTTTATTTTTGTCGAAAGATATGAATGAACTTTGCTCATTAGAATTATAATCTATTTATCTTCCTTAAAGGCAGGATTGGTACATTTTTGAAAAACTGGCATGACTTTGAAAGTAGCATTCCCTCAGAGCGCTGTCTGCACCCGCCCCCTCCCCTCTGCACTCCCTCAAAAGCCACGCCCCCTCACTTACATGCAAGTGTTTCACAGTGTAAACTCTGTCGCCTGGGACGTGTGTGGGCTAGTGCAGCAAGGAGTAGAGAGCGAGCAGGGAAAGGCCTGATTGGTTCATCAGATTGGTACCTCGTGGCAGACATTGGTGGAAGTTTTTACAGGCTTACAAACTGCTACAGATGACGGATTTTCCTTATTCCTTTTTCAGAGCACATGAGTTATTAATTTCTGTCAGGACCTAAAGACAATTTCAACCAAAATCGTAAAAAGTGTATCTGGAGGAAAGTACCAACCCTGCCTTTAAACTGCAAATGGAAAACAGATGAACAGCGAGGTCGCAGCAGGGTAAAGAGAACAGAATGGTATTTACTGTCATAATAATAAATATATATTTTTCACTATAATCCATAGCATATTAGAGAACATGATACAAGAGCCATAACGATAATAATATATGATATATATATATATAGAGAGAGAGAGAGAGAGAGAGAGAGAGAGAGAGAGATATGAATTCTATTGAGAGTGAGAGTTTAAATATTTTAACCTTGCAATAGCTAACTTTTTTAGCAGGAGAAGCGCAATAACAGATACAATAAGTCTCCGTGAGCCGTGTGTGCAGACGCACACTCAGGTTCCTGCTGACTGCTATTGTATGCATCTTATGTACATAACGAAACAGTGACTTCCTGCCAAAAGCTTTTACCGGGTGCCATCCACAGTATATAAGACCTGGAATACTGTAAAGTGCAAAAAGAGCACAACAATGACAACAGTGACAACAATGACGTGACTCTTTGACAAAAAGCGTATATTCTGCAGAGTGTGTGTTTTGACCTTCTGAATTTGTTTTTGGGCTTTTATCTTTATGGTGATTGTGAATTTATCTGCATTTTCAATGAACCGCTGCAATGCTTATTATTATTTATTTATTCATTCATTTATTTATTTATTTATTAGAGCGCCAAATATCTCTTCTTCTTTCTGTATGATTTCGCTGTATATTCTTGGTGTGACTTTCTGACCTGCAGTCCGTCATCGGTGGTGTCCGCTGACATGGTGATCAGAGTAGTTCAAGAGAGTGAGACAGTACTGTCATTTACAATTATGCAGTTACAGTAAAATATTATGATTATTAAAAAAAAAAAGGGCAACCATTTTAATTTTTTTTCCTCAGAGATCATAGATACGACTCTGGTGTCAGTATATCCGCCTCTCTTTTGTAGCACAGAATATATTGATAGGCTGTTTAAATCTTGCAAATGAATCTGTTAGTGGTGATGAGTTTTTGGCTTGATGTGTGTGTGTGTGTGTGTGATGCATATTGGTCTGATTGACATGGCTTGTAGCAACAGCCAAAGGTTTACAGCTACTTTTACACAGACCTGGGTCAAAGAGCTGCACATCATTCTCCGTTGGCGTTTAATCAGATGGGAGGGGGTCAGCGGGGTCAGCATCAAACGCAGGTCGAGATGTACGCTTTCAGTCAGAGAGACGCACTCATGTTGCATTTGCCGAAACGGGAGAAAGTATTTGCAGCTGCTGTTTGATCCAGGTCTGTGGTTTCCTTTTTGTTTCCTTGCATCAACTTCTCATCTCGACTTTCTTTCTCTGTAGCAAAGTATTCCGACATTGTGACCTCATGTTGGTTAGATTTGACTACATGTACGACTTTGACCTCAAAAAGCAACAACACACTACTTGAAGTACAACTGGATATATATAAAAAAAACAACAAACAGCTTTTCTTTGGTTTCTTTGTAACATATCACCCACATGAATCATTGTCTGCTTCTTGAAGTCATGTCCGAATCTTGATGCTGTATGCCCATGTTACATTCCATTGTTTTTTGGGACAGTGCTTATATTTCTGTCTGTGCTTTGCAGTATGATTGATTCTTTTCTTTTCCCTTTTTGTACAAAAATAAATCAATAAATCAATAACACTCAACGCTGTACATTATTTATGGAATAAAACATCCAAACGCTTATGTTTGAAACTTCACCTGTGGATTTTTCGTTCTTTATTGTCCAACATGTGGCTCTCTGTGTTTTGAATAAAAATGATATAAATGTGCTGAACATCGTCTTGAGTGACACAGTACGACTTTCTTTTGGTGGTATATTCAATTCTGCATTGGAACAAGGTGGCAATTAAATGTTTCTGCAAATATTTGATTGGCTTAGTGCCCCGATGAACACACTATAGTGACAATCTTCCTGAATACTGGAGCCAGACCAATTTGCATAAACTTGCAAACTTACTCCATTCTGTGCATCATTATAAAGGGATTATATCGCAGCAGATGTATTTCATGTCATTAAATTGCCGGGGTGTTTACTCTTCTGACAAACGGATGGAAAGCCATGAAAAGTAATCTGATGAAATCTTTCAATCTAGAGAGCCTTCTGACTTCAATTAGGCATTCATCACCACCACTACAATAGTCGCAGTTCTGCCAGCACGCTTTGTGTAACTGCAAGATAACCTTGTGTGTGTGTGTGTGTGTGTGTGTGTGTGTGTGTGTGTGTGTGTGTGTGTGTGTGTGTGTTTGTAATATCCTTGAATGACCCGATCTGGAGTAAATTCCCTGGCACTTGGATAATCGTGAGAGATGGGAAACCGGCACTGTGCGATGGCTCATGAAAACTGCAGCAGTGAGCTCGCTCATATCTGCGAGCGCTGTCTTTGAAATGATTAGTCAAAGGATTTTCCGCCCGTGCCTTGGTCAGTCCATGTTACATAAGACGGACAATTCCCTGGGGATGTTCGGGGATGCGTTCGCCTCACGTAGCCCGGAGTAATTGTCCACATTTGGCCGTAATTGCGCTTTGAAAACACCTCAAATTGGGTAAAAAAAAAAAAAAGCTTTGATCAATCCCACGAGAGGCAAGAAGAAAAAGAAAAAGCTCCACCAGTGAAAATTGGTTGCGCCTCAGAGAGCATGGCTCGGGGGTTACTGCTGCTCAACATTTAAAAGATTAAAGCTTCCCGTCAGGTTTGGGACACAGGTAACCAACATCTTATCACTGTGCTTCAGTTGGGACAGATGTTTGAGATGCATCTGCTCAACTTCTTGATAAGTATCACCTTGAATTCAATATAATCCTCCCTCTTTTTTGTGTCACCCTCCTGCCTTTCCCCCTTCCCTCTATCTTTGTTTCCAAGACTCATGGCTGTGGAGGATGAGATAAGGGGAGGACCCTTGATTGAGCCAAAAACCAGGATTTTCGCTGATCAGGTCTGTGAGACTGCTTCTTCTCTCGTCGAGTCCGTGCGACGGCCCGAGCTGTCCTCTCTCTCTCTCCCCCCCTCCCCCACCCTCCTCTTCCTCTCTTTTTACCCCTCCCTGCTACTCTTATTATTTTGTCTGCTTTGTGTGTGTGGTCCCTCTGATTGTCTTGCCCCGTCCCTGACCCGTCCCTGTGTTTTGGGTTTGAGTGCCATCTGTCCGCCAACATACCTGGGAGCTTTGAAGATCAAAGAGTGTTGCTGTTTGCATTCCTCGGCTCACCGCGCTCGAGATGTCTGACTCTAGCCGGGAGTTTGTGAGCATTTTCTCTGGCGTGTGGTGGTGATGACGGTGATGTGTCTGTCAAATGTTTCTGTCAAGCATGGCGATGGTCGGAACCCGTTTTCACACATGAAATGCAGCACCGGACTTGCACTCAGGTTATGGAACAGCTGAGACCAGAGCTGTAGCGTGGTATTGATAGTGATGATGGTGCTGCTGTGTCTTCAGGCGCTTCTCTCTTTACTGCATTTCATTTCAAACTCTCAAACCCGCCCACTTTCTTATCCTGTCATATTGAACAAGCCCACCTCCAGACATGAGTCATGCTGTGAAGATATCATTCTTGTGAACACACGAACACACAAACGTGAGAAAAAATAAGAAAACATAATAAGAATGGAACATGCAATGACTCAGATCAAGTATGCAAAGAGATAAACGTCCAGATCTTATAATTACACTAAGACACTTGCATATAAAAAAAAATAAAACATCTGATATTCTAGAGGATTGAGGAGTTGTTGATTATGTCCTGAGACTTCTTCTTAAGCAAAAGTAGAAAAATAAAAACATGGAAATAGTTTTACAAGGATGCAATAACATCAAAATGGACTTGTGAGAAATGACACATCATAATAATAAGTTGCAATATAATTCTGATCTTTATCTTGACTTCACTTCAGTGTTGCAGCTGTCAAAGGTAAGACAGTGTTTCATTTTTTTTTTTTTTTAGACTGCTGGGTAGCTTCTGAACTTCCCCCTCGGAATACTTCACTATGACTATGAAAACCTTTATTGCCCCGCCTGGGTATTTGTCTTGCACCGAGAGCATGAAACCAAAACATTAGTGACCAACAAACTTACAAGGCAGCACATAAAAACATAAAAATGAATTTAAATAATCAACTGTAAATATAAATGGACAGAGCCTGATTGACATCAGCCATATGTTCCTGCAGGGGGCATTTTGGAGTCCCAACAATGGCGGTCTCCATGCTAGAAATGCTGACTCAGCTTAACTTTCAGTCAACCTAAAGATGGACTGAGAGCTGGAGCTGAGGCGGGTTTTAAGCCTCCTGATAAACCGTTATAAAAGCGCCCACCTGTTGATCAGGTCAGACAAACGCCTCTTATCCTTCAGAAAAATCAAAGCTGATGAGTCATCAAAAAAATCACCCCCCTGTACAGTGTGTACACATCATGATAATAACTAATCACACCAGTTTAGTTTTTGCACCAGGCTGTAAACATTTTAATTTCTGTTGTAAAAACAGGATTTTTAGAATGGGTGTGCATGTGGCTTCTGGTGCTTCTGCAGCCAGCCTCTAGTGGACACTGGAGGAACCGCAGGATGTTGCACTTCTGCACTGGCTTCCTTTTTCATCACCGGAGTTTGCCGCTTGATTAAAATACATAATTAAAAACATCCCATGATTAAATGTAAGGGGATTGATGAACTAAAACACGAGTCAAGCAAACAATGACCAAACTAACACACAGAGCTCTGGTGAGCCGCAGAGCAGCAGCTATAATAATGTATTAGTTAATTTTTGTATTTGTGTAATACCCTAACTTTTCTAATTAAAGTGGTAAAAAGAACATTATTCATCGCTTTACTTGTAGTGAAGTAAAAGTTGCACATTTTAAGATTGGATTAAGTGCTTGGTTCAAGTAGATATATATAAATAATTTCAACACTGGTCACCACTGTTGCCAGATTTGTATGACATCAATTAGCCTTGTTGTATAAAAGCATCTTAGTCTGTTTGCATGATCAAACATGTACAGCATTAGAGTTTAGCCATTAGCTAATGCTACACTATAAGAAACAAACCATACGCTTTCAGTTTCCCCACAGACAAACTCAGATGCATCACTGAGAATACCACATAAAGGAATTATCAACGGATGATACCACACTCAGTCGCTGTGAGTTCATGAGACATATTAATGCTGATTGGAGCCTTCAAAGAGCTCATTTCTGTGTCAGAGGGTTCAAACGACAGCCTCACACGATGTCTTTCTACTTTCAACGGGTGCTGTTTGTGGATTATTGTCTCTTAATTAATTGCATGAGAAATCAAAGAAACCCCTCACAGTAGATTTCTCATTACCCGTCAAAAAGGGAAGAGAGAAAAAATAATGAAACATGCCACGAGGGAAGAGCTGACAGATGCCTCTGAGCAAAATGTGACATGTCCTCTGAGAATCCCCACAAGGCTATGCATTTAGAAAAATATATAGATATATGCTCGGTGTAACGCAGTGCTCCTGTCCTTTCTTTTTTTTAAGTGAATGTTTTTAATGTAGCCCTTGATGTAGAGCTTTAATTAGTGTTTGGATTCATTCTAAATAATCTCTCTATCATATTGAGATCAGAGTTTTTGTATTATATACATATAGATATATTTATATGTACACACAACATGCATTTGTTGACAAGCTGAGGGGCGGTGTGAGAAGCTAAAGACCTACGTCGACTGACTAGAAGAGGACCCAAGTGCAGACTAGCACAGAATAATGTGTTTTACCAAAGGACAAAAAAGTCCAAGTTCAAAAAAATCCAACAAAAAGTCCCAAAAACACAGAAAAAAAAAATCACAAAACAAGAAAGAGCAAAGAGGACTTTGAGACTACTGTTCTAAGATTTCAAAGTTACATACTGTTGCTTTAGTCCCAAATGAGTGATGTAAACTGTTGTTTTAACGTACAAATATAGTCCAGTATCTCCCCAAATTCTGAGACATCAGGGAGTTTATTCCTGGTTATGGGTCGGCTAATTCTTGCTTGATAACTGTAAAGTTTGCTATGAGAAGATCCAGTTGCGATTCTAGAGTCTGTCGGGTCCCGAAGCAAGTCTGGCCCTCTTAGGGAAGTTTCCTACAGTCATTGCAAAATTATCACATTTTTTGCTATGGTTTAAAGTTTGTAAGCCCTTGAGGGCCCCCTACTGGCCTGGGGCCCCAAGCAGTTGCCCTGCCTTGCCTGTTGACAAGCGGCGCCTCTGACGAGATGAAACGCTTACGTTAGCTGCTCAGACGTAACTGAACCTAAGGAAACATGTTTTTACTTAAAACTCAGCCCCACGTCTCCTTTCTACTGTCACAAGATAATGTTGTTCAAATCAGCAGTAATGAAAAGATAGCAAAGTGTCAATTTACTAAATACAATTGCAAACCTGGAACACAGCATTTAAGAACAAATATATAGTGAATTAGTCAGATAATCAACATATTAAATTAATCGTCACACAACTATTTTACTAATCAGTGCAGCTCTCTGTCTAGGCTGGTTGCATTTTCCTTTTTGCAAAATGTTCTGTTTTCTGAAAGCCCAGTTGGGTACCAGATGGATGAAGTTTGCAGCGTAGGTCGATAAACCGGGTGCCATAAAGTGTAGGCACTTTGGAAAAAATATGTCGGATCTGATTTAGTGCAGAATAGAACAGAAATTAATAGATAAACACCAAGAGAGGCTCACAGCCCCTGTGAAGAAATTCAGCACTTTCAGAAGCCAAATGAATCATGACGAGTCTTTTTCATTGTCAGCAACTAAAGGTGTTGTACACTATTCTCGGAGCCTTCAGTGTTTAAGCAGACTCGGTAATTATCAGCTTATTATTTATCTAAAGATGCGTCTGATTTTAGGTTGAAAGTATGTCATGTTTAAAATCCACATTGTCCCAAAATAATCTGTAAACTCAAGAACTACTTTTGTTTATTATTCTATCTCTATGGCAACAGGTGCTGCAAGATATAATTACAGATTTCCCTACATCCGTTACGTAACTTCATTTGTCTCCCTTTTATTCATGCCATTGTAGTAGATTCCTAATTTGATTACAGCCACACATTTAAAAAGATAATGCTTTCTATTCAGGCAGCATCCATTATAAGTAATATAAGAGTAAAACTGATGAATGAGGCAGAGAAGAGCCACATGGGGTTACACTAAGCAGCACATCTATGATTGAATTTTAGGGATTTATTTTGTGTAACTGCTGAAAACAAACTTTATTTACTCTGTTCAAAAGAAAACAGTCGCTCTGAATGTGTTGCATCTTAATGTCTGTGTAGGTTCTCGGTGGTCATTGTAATTAATTTGAAAGCTTGATCCAAAGGCAACTGGACTGGTTGAAGATCTTGAAGACGTTTCAGATGAGCAGGCATGCTAATGATCCACAGAGGCTTACATTTCTAGCTCCGTCCACCAGATAGTTTAGAACTGAAGAAGCCTTTCGGAGGAGAGGCGACCATTTTTAGTCTAATTCATCAGTTGTTTAAAGTCTTTGAAGAACGTGAAAGGGTTACACCAGCGTTTTCTTTTCTCTATTTCCTACCCTTTTCCCCTTCCTCAGCAGCAGCAACATATGGCTTTATATCCACCCGTGACAATTCAAACTCTCAAACTGCCTCGACAATTTTTTTTATTGGATTACAGAAGAGCACACAGCGAGCAGCAACCTGCTTAACATTCAAACTGAGCTGGAGGTAATCTTCAGTGTGGTGTTTAAAGGAGGAATGTGTTCCTAAATATCGACACAACAAACCATAGAGAGTGAAAATCCCCTTAAAAACTTGAACATTTTATCTAAGGATAGGTTACGCCTCGTGCTCCAGGGTTGTACGTTATTTTTTCCTTTACCGAGGACATCTGCACATATATATTGCACATTTAAGATTTTAAGTGTGGAACAAACTATAAAGAAGGGCGTCTATTTCTAAAGT